TGTTCCGCCTAACCATATGTGAATCACTTCCAGAGTCAGAGGCACTAGATTCAGTTTGTCCATCTTCTCCTGAATCATCTTCTTTTCCATTCAGCAATTTCTCATTTTTTCCTAAAGATGACGTGTGAATCACTTCCAGAGTCGGAGGCACTAGATTCAGTTTGTCCATCTTCTCCTGAATCATCTTCTTTTCCATTCAGCAATTTCTCATTTTTTCCTAAAGATGACGTCTGATTCCTATTGAGGGACTGATGTGTATTCCTTGGATAGGGAAGAGGGACAGGCTGCATGGGATGAAAAGGATATCCATGATATGAAGGCAGCCGTTCAACAAGACCTGGAAAATTGTACATATATTGGGGCGTCTGGTTTGGCCATTGAATAGGCATCTGATATTTAGTGGCAGTTGATGGTGTCTGATGATCTGATGCAGACAAATTGACAACTGCATGTAATGTTCTTAGCCATCAGATAAGAATCTTTTGAGATATTATCAATGCTCTCTCTATCAAAAAGATGAAAAGGGCTGGCAAAAGCTGCAAATTACCTTTATTAGGGTCCAAAGTTGCAGTTTGGTTTATCAGGTGAGACTTTGAGGCTTCCAAAGATTCATTTGACACAGGATTAGGGTTGCTAATTTCATTTGCAAGCACAATGCCAGATGTTCCCAATAATGAGAATTCTGCTGATGAGCATGCCTTCACTGCAGCTAATTCTTCCATCCAAAGATGATCTGCATGCTTTTTCTTGCATAATTCTATGAAATTAAAACATGCTTCCCTACATATAATAAAAACTTGATATTATGATCTCAAATGGGCTGATCATCAGAAAGTAAGGGAAAGGAATTTAGCAGGAACATTTGTACTAGATATAACTATATTTTGTCCAGAGGACTTAATCCATCTGGTAGCATGCTGAGCGATGACATCTTAAATAATATATCAAGTAAAGAACAACTTATCACTTTCATCATAAACTGTGAAGAGTGTTGTTTTGTATAGTTGCTACTTGGATTGTAGACAAACCAGCCAAGAAATTGAACATTATAAGCAAGACAATATTTATTCCTTCTAGCACTAATAAACATATATAAAAATATATATATATATATAATTTGGCTCAGAAGATTTGAGCAATGAAATGGCATCCTTTCTGCTAACTATACATGAGAAACCAGTAAGATCTAGAATACAGAATCTTAATATTTAGGGGGGAAAAAAAAAAGAAGAGGAAGGGGCAAGAAAGACACTGGGAAATGTGTAAGATCAGTTAATTTTGAGCTTTTTCACATGCTTTCATATTGGCCACTTTAATTGTTTTTTCATTCACAAAATCTTAAAGCTAGACCATATGGATACTTAATGGCATTTTGTACCTTAACCTTGAAGCACCAAATGCCTCAGCAAAGGAGATTAGATCATCCATATTTTCCATTGCAAATCCAGCAACCAGCCCACGAGCATAAGCCATTGCTTGCTCTTTCCGAAGCAAGGTTTTCCGAGTTTCCAGAAGCCGATGAAGTTGAGTCCTTGTCATAAGAATGACTAAATAAATCAGATATTGAAATCTAATGCACAGAGACTAAGAACCAGTATCACCAAATGTAATTATTTTAAGGATAAAATTTGTTACTTGGAATTTTCTTCAGGCAAGGTTTCATCTTTTCTATCAAGTTCACCTTTTAGCTGGTAGCAACAGAAAATAATTAAAAGTGAAGATGCATATTTCTGGACAGGCATCACTTGTATTCTACACAGTTTGCAAAGCAAAATGGAATACCTTAGAGGAATCACTGGACCCATGAACTGATAAAGTCATAAAACAGAGAAGTTAATTAATCAGTAAACAAATATAGTAATATAGTGGTGCATGGAGCCACAATTAATGAACAGACAAAGCTATCCCAACATGTATGGAAAAGTCTTCTGACAAATGTTTCAAGTATTGACTCTTGAGCATATACCTTCCTCCTGCCTTCCACCTAAATTAGTCTCTGAAACTTCATTAGCTAGAACTGATTTCTCAATTTGCAAGATTTCTCTTTCTAAGCTGACAAACCGTTCAAGAACTGCAGGCGTGCTAACAAACCGCACAAATCTAGCAAAGAGGAATACGAATTCAGGGGTTAGTACTTTGTAGTTACCCTCCTCGGTTATAGTTCAAAGCCAT